TAAGCACTGGTACTCGGACAGGTCAGCCTTGTGGGACGCCTAGTCACACCCAGTCCCGCTGCTTCGCCCGTCTGAGCGACGCCTGGAGTACCGAGTTTGGCGACGAGGCTGAGCTCCCCGACTGGGTGGAGTTGCTTAGGCAGAGAGTAGATATATTTGATCTTGATTATGATGCTATTCTCACTGCCATGTATGCATTGCCTACTAGTGCTGACCGTGCCGGTCACCTGTGCGTACCGCCTGACCAAGGTATAGAGCCTGCTGCTCTGGGTGGTGGTGAGGCTGCTGCTCTAGGTGCTAGTGAGTCTCCTTCTCCAGGTACAGGTGAGGCTGCTGCTCTAGGTGCCAGTGAGTCTGCTCTCTCGGGTACCGCGTCGGCTCCGGCCTCCCACACCTTCACCCTTGACTCGGGGGCTTCTCGCTCCTTCTTTCGAGACCGCACCACACTCACGCCGCTTGGCCGGCGAGTTGCAGTCTCTCTGGCAGACCCCTCTGGGGGTCCTGTCCTTGCTCACTACTCCACTGTCCTCCCGTGTCCGCCGGCCCCCTCTGGCACCCTGTCTGGTCTTTACCTCCCCTCGTTCTCTACGAACTTGGTGAGTGGTGCTGACCTACAGGATGCGGGGGTTCACCAGTTCACTCCTGCCCGTCAGCGGGTGACCCACTGCACGGACGCTCAGACACGCCAACACCTGGCCACATTTACACGTCGGCCGGGGTCGAGCTTGTACACACTGACCACTGCGTCTCCTCGAGTCACTGCGTCTGGTCAGGTAGCTGCGTCAGGTTAGGTGTTTGCTTCAGCATCCAGGTCTGGTCCTGAGTCTGCCCCCTGCTCGTGTCGCCTCCTGTATCACGAGACTCTCCTCTGGCACCACCGCCTTGGTCACCCCTCCCTACTTCGTCTCCAAGGCATGGCCTCCCGTGTCCTTGTCTCTGGTCTTCCCCGGTCCCTCCCTCCCCTTCCCCCGGGGCCTGCCCCTGCCTGCGTCCCCTGTGTCGAGGGGCGCCAGCGTGCTGCCCCTCACTCCTCCCAGTTTCCTCCGACAGAGGCCCCGCTGCCGACGCTTCACATGGACGTGAGGGGCCCGGCCCGCGTCCGTGGACAAGGTCACGAGCGCTACTTCCTGCTGGTGGTTGACGACTACTCGCGTTACACCACAGTCTTCCCCTTGCGCAGCAAGGGTGATGTCACTGCGGTGTTGATCGACTGGATCCGTGCAGCTCGTCTCCAGCTCAGGCAGAGCTTTGGCTCGGACTTTCCTGTTCTGCGTCTGCACTCTAAGAGAGGCGGAAAGTTCTCCACTGGCTTTCTGCGAGCCTACTGTCGTGCACGAGGCATTCGCCAGACCTTCACGCTTCCGGACTCTCCACAGCAAAATGGGATTGCTGAGCGCCGCATTGGCATGGTCATGGACGTCGCCCGTACGTCCATGATGCATGCGGCTGCCCCCCATTTTCTGTGGCCGTTTGCGGTTCGGTACGCGGCGCATCAGATCAACCTTCACACCAGGGTCTCCATGCCGGAGACCTCCCCAGCTTTGCTGTGGACAGGGAAGGTTGGCGATGCGTCTGTGTTCCGTGTCTGGGGATCTCGGGCGTTTGTTCGCGACTTGTCTGCGGACAAGCTGTCCCCTCATGCTGCTCCTTGCGTCTTCCTTGGCTTCCCCTCTGACGCGCCAGGGTGGCAGTTCTACCACCCCACCTCTCGCCGTGTACTGTCCTCCCAGGACGTCACGTTTGACGAGTCGGTCCCCTACTACCGCCTCTTCCCCTACCGCACTCCGTCCCTCCCCCCGCCACGGCTCTTCCTTGTACCAGGTCCCCCGGTAGACCCCCTCCCCCCTCAGGGTCCTGCCCCTTTAGGTTTGTCCCAGACAGACGCAGTCGAGCCTGTCGAGGTTACAGGTGACTCTTGTGCTGCTGAGGGTGCTAAGCCTGGGGGTGCTGACTCTCGGGGTGCTGAGCGTGTGGGTGCTGCGCCTGGGGGTGCTGAGCCTGGGGGTGCTGAGCCTGGGGGTGTTGCGACTGAGGGTGCTGAGCCTGGGGGTACTGAGCCTGGGGGTGCTACGCCTGGAGGTGCTAAGCCGGGAGGTGCGGAGCCTGAGGGAGTTGGGTCTATTCGTGTGGTGTCTGGCGGTGCTTGGCCTGGAGGTTCTCCGGGTGCTTCGTCTCGACGGGAGCCCCTCTCTCCACAGGAGCTGCATGAGTGGTTTGCCCGGCGCTGGAGGCGTGCTGCTGCAGCTGGAGGTTCTCCGGCTGCTGAGGGTGCTGGTGCCGCGGGTCCCGGAGGTGCTCGTGCTAGGAGTACTAGAGCTGTTGGGCCTGCGGGTGCGACTGGAGCTGGAGCTAGAGCTGTTGAGGGTGTTGGCGCTGAGGCGACTGCTGTCGATCCTGGAGGCGGTCCTGCTGGGGGTACAACTGGTGCTGCTGGAGGTACTGGAGCTGGAGGTGCTCCTGGCGCTGGTGCTGCCGCTAAGGGTACTGGTGCTGTCCCTGCAATGTCTGGAGTTAACGCGCAGCCTCAGTCATACTTTGTTCCGCTCCTTCAGCAGGTTCTTGGTCTCCCGCCTTCTACTTGTCCTTCTCCTCCCTTAGAGTGTCCACAGCCTGTCCCGTCACAGTTACAGTTACAGCCGGCCTCCCCGCTACCTGCTCCTTCTCCCTACACTGGTCCTATTGGAGGTCTTGCTGAGCGTCGTGAGCCTGCGTCTCGCCCTGCGTCGGCTGTCCGCCCTGCTCGCACTAGTGGTCGTGGTTCGCGTCAGCGTCCTCCTCCTGTCCCTGTCATGCACCGGATGTCTCTGTGTCCGTCCACTGCTCCTCTGCGTGCCCCTTTGCCTTCTCCTCCTGAGTCCTCTCTTCCTGCTCTTACCGACCGGGAGTCGGACTCTCTTCGTGCTGCTAGTCCTACTGTCACGCGTCTCCTTGCTACTGTCGTCACAGGCCCTTCCTTTGAGTCCACTGCTGCGTCTTCCCTAGTTGCTGAGCTCGTCGACTTTGCTGCTCGCTGTCGTCTAGACTACGCTGCTAGTCTTGTCGCTGAGTCTCAGTCTGTCTGTCCTCCGTCCGTCAGGGGTGAGTGTGCCCTGGGCACGGACGTCCTTGAGGACAGGCAGGAGGAGTTCCACTGTCTGGCTGCTGCTTCACCTCATCTCGTGTCCGTACTGCTTACCCCTGAGGGAGACCCGTATGCACTTGACATCCCGACTCCGCGCTCTTACGCGGAGGCGATAGAGGGTCCCTACTCCTCTCAGTGGCAGGCAGCTATGGACGCAGAGATGGCTTCCTGGAAGTCCACAGGAACCTACGTTGACGACGCTCCCCCGCCTGCGGCGAACATCGTCAGTGGCATGTGGATTTTCAGGGTGAAGCGGCCGCCGGGTTCTCCGCCTGTCTTCAAGGCGCGGTACGTTGCTTGTGGCTTCAGTCAGCGGCAGGGAGTTGACTACTTTCAGACCTTCTCTCCCACCCCGAAGATGACCACTCTTCCGGTACTGCTGCACATAGCTGCTCACCGAAACTATGAGCTTCACTCTCTTGACTTCAGCACAGCTTTCCTGCAGGGCAGCCTGCACGAGGAGATCTGGCTGCGCCGCCCACCTGGGTTCACTAGGTCTTTTCCTCCTTGCGCCCAGTGGAGCCTCCGACGGCCAGTCGACGGTCTCCACCAGGCACCACGTGAGTGGCACGACACACTGAGGACTACACTTGCTCCTTCTACAGCCGACCCGTTACTGTTTCTGCGCACCGACACCTCTCTGCCGCCGTTCTTCATCCTCGTGTACGTCGACGACTTGGTCTTTGCCACTGCTGACACTGCTGGACTCACCCACATGAAGTCCGAGCTGCAGAAGAGACACACGTGCTTAGACCTGGGTGAACTGCGCAGCTACCTTGGCTTGCAGATCACCCAGGACAGAGCACGTCGCACCATTACCCTAACTCAGTCACACATGGTGCAGCAGGTCCTTCAGTGCTTCGGCTTCACGTCCTCCTCGCCTCAGGCCACTCCTCTGCCTACTCGCCACTCGCTCTCAGCTCTGCCTTCGGATGAGTCCGTAGAGGCGAGTGGCCCATACCCAGAGCTTGTTGGCTGCCTCATGTACCTGATGACCTGCACTCGAGCTGACCTTGCATACCCTCTTAGCATTCTCGCACGCTATGTTGCTCCAGGGAGACACAGACCGGAGCATATGGCTGCATCGAAGAGGGTGTTGCGCTACTTGTGCAGTACGTCAAGCATGGGGCTTGTGCTTGGAGGGCAGAGTCCAGTGGTCCTCACTGGGCACGCAGACGCTTCTTGGGCTGACGACCAGGCTACGCAGCGGTCGTCACAGGGTTACACCTTTAGCCTTCGTTCTGGCTCTGTTTCGTGGCGGGCTACCCGCTCGTCTTCTGTTCTCGGCTCCAGTTGTGAGGCTGAGATCTACGCAGGAGCCATGGCTGCTCAGGAGCTTCGCTGGCTCACCTACTTCCTGACTGACCTCGGAGAGCCGCCTCGTTCTCCTCCAGTGCTGTACGTAGACAACAAGGCCATGCTGGCCTTGTGTCGGGAGCACAGACTGGAGCACAGAACGAAGCACATTGCTCTGCGCTACTTCCTTGCTCGTGAGCTACAGCAGCGTGGTCAGCTGCGTCTTGCGTACGTGGCCTCTGAGGCCAACTCTGCTGATATCTTCACCAAGGCGCTTGCGCCTTGTGATCATCACCGCTTCTGTTCTCAGCTGGGTCTTGTGTCTGCCTTGCCTCACTTGCTCACCTCTTGACCATGCTTGTATTGTTACATGTATATATACATCGTCTCTTGCTTGTCTAGCCTTTTGTATATATATGTACTCCTGCATGTGAACTGGCCTTGTGGCCTTGACCTTGTGCTCGGAATGTGTGGTGACTTTGTGATCCACCCTGAGTTTGCTTTGCTTTGCTTTGCTTGACTAGTCTTGTCGCCCCTTGTACTCCCCCACTTTGCCTATCGGGGTGTGTCAGAACATTATAGCTTATGCTTTTGTGTAGGCTGTAGTGGGGTAGCCCATATGGGGAACAACCCAATTAGGGCTAGTACTTGTACCCAACTCTTTCATATTGCATTCATTCTCGTTTCAGTTTTCACACCGCAACCTCCGCCGCCTCCACTCCCTCCGCCACTACCGCCGCCTCCTCCGCCTCCACTGCTGCCACCGACACCTCCACCCCCGCCACCACTCCCACCACCACCCCCACCCCCTACATTGCCTCCACCACCACCTCCACCACCCCCGCCAGCCCCTCCAGCGCCCTTGCCCCCCTTGCCCTTGTCGGTGCGGCGTCTCCCGCTAGGGGTAGACGCAGCGCCGTCCGACTCGAAACCAACGAGGTCGGCCGCAGCAGCAGAAGCAACAGAGGGCAAGAGGGGGGAAAAGAAACACCCCTCAAACACGGGGGTGCGAGGGTCACCACGAGAGGGTCCTACAGCAACTACGCTCTTCTCTGCTGATAGGAGGCACTCCTCGACGAGGTCAACGGTGAGTGTGGTGGGGCAAACTGAGAGGAAATGGTCCCTGACTAAGCGAAGGGAGTGAGGGAGCCGGGTGACTATGTAGTAGAGGGTGATGTACATGGGGGGGGGGGGGGGTTCTTGGCACATAACTCATCAGGAAGCGCAGCGCGGTAGCGAGTGTCGCTAGTGCGAAGGTGCGTAATGAGGTCAGCGAGTGTGGGAAAGGCAGCAAGGTCAGGGAACAGGTACGGTAGCATGAGGCGGCTAAGTGCAGCAGTGGCAGGGGAAGAGTAGCGTGCAACTACAGCGTCGTACAAGGTCTGAGCACTCTTGTACTGGCTAAAGTGCGCACGTTCTGTGGTCGGTAAGTGGCGACGCACAGCAAGACGGGCAGCAGCATCGCGTGTGGCCTACTGTGAGCAAACAGTGCTGTCAGCAGTAGCAGGCGGGGCAGGAGAGGCACCAGAGGTGAGATCGAACAGGGAGATTCCGTCTACCCTATCGCACTGTAGGAACAGCTGGAGTTCATCGACCCAGACCTCAAAGTCAACAGCACGACCCTCAGCATCAAAGGTAAGGACACTGGGGGTAGCCATGACTGCAGTGGCCTAGTAGGAAGTGATCTCACCAGTCCGAGTAAGTAGGGCCGGGGCACGCCGATAGGAACAGTAGTGGCTCGACGGCAGGGCGGCTCGGCGGCTCGGCTGCTGGGCGGGTCGGCGGCTCAGCGGCTCGGCTGTTCGGCGGCTCGGCGGCTCGGTTGTTGGGCGGCTCGGCTGTCAGGCGGCTCGGCGGCTCGGTTGCTGGGCGGCTCGGCGGCCCGGCGGCTCGGCTGCTCGGCGGCTCGGCGGCTCGGCTGTTGGGCGGCTCAGTTGCTGGGCTGCTCGGCGACTTGGTGGCTCGGGTGCTCAGCTGCTGGGCGGCTCAGCGGTGAAGGGGCCGGTAGAGGCGGCCACGGGGCCAGTAGAGGTGGCGATGGGGCCGGCAGAAGCGGCGATGGGGCCTCTAGGGGCGGCGATGGGGCCGCGTAGGGAGGGGAGCAGCGACGGGGCAACGAGGTGCGGCTACGGGGCCACATAGGGGCGGCGTCGAGGTCGCGTAGTGGCGGCGACGGGGCCACGTAGGGAGGGGAGCGGCGACGGGGCCGCTAGGGGCGGCGACGGGGCCGCGTAGGGGCGGCGATGGGGCCGCTAGGGGCGGCGACGGGGCCGCGTAGGGGCGGTGACGGGGCCGCGTAGGGAGAGAGGCGGCGACGGGGCCGCTAGGGGCGGCGACGGGGCCGCGTACGGGCGGCGACGGGGCCGCTAAGGGGCGGCGACGGGGCCGCGTAGGGAGAGAGGCGGCGACGGGGCCGCTAGGGGCGTCGACGGGGCCGCTAGGGGCGGCGACGGGGCCGCTAGGGGCCGCGAGGGGCCTGGAAGGGCGGCGACGGGGCCGCTAGGGGCGGTGACGGGGCCGCTAAGGGTGGCACAAGGGGTCGTGAGAGGGGCCTCTAAGAGAGTTCGACAAAAGGGCGGCCCACAAGGCGCGCCTCGGGCAGGAGCGACTGACGCTCCGGTCAGATAAAAAAAAAAAAAAAATCAGTGGTGGGCCCAAGGAAGCGTTCCCACTAGGGAACCTGCTCTATACCCTGTGAAGAAATGAGGAATGAATGAACTAGCACAATATTGGGTACAAGTAGGAAACCCTAGGAAACTGTACCCCATAGTGTCTACCCCATAATAGCCTAGACAAGCTATATGATAAATGTTTGACACGTTTCGTATTCCACTATGTACTCTTATTTATATTCCCGTATTTGCATGCTTTTTATCATCTCAAGCATTTTACATTCACCCTTCTTTTGAGGTTAAGGGCCCACCGCTACCAGCCAGTTGTGTGCGTGTCAGAATATTATTATTGTCTAGCCTGCAGTGGCGTGCTCTATAGCGAGTACAACCCAATTTAGGGTTTGCTATTTGTATCCCAACTCGTGCTAGTGCAACCACTCTTTTTTCATTTCTCTTTCGTGTACCCTAAACCTAGCCATGGCTTCTTACCCTTAGCTACTATTCTGACATGGAATTAGAGCTGTTACGTTCTTGGCCTGTGGGCCCACCTAAAGCTTCCGCTGCTTTCCTGTCTGTCGCGCGCCCTGTGGCGTGCGACGCTTTTTCATCCCGCCATGCGCTCTTGGCGGCGGCTTCGTCGACCCGCGCGCGGCTTCTTGTCACCCTTCGCGACGGCCCCGTAGACCCGCGCGCAGCCCTCGGGGATCCGTGCGCCCGTCCCAGTCGACCCGCGCGTCACCCTGCGCCCCCCCTCCCTGCACACCTGAGTTCGCTTTCCGCGCACCCGAGTTCGCTTTCTGCACACCTGGGTTCGCTTACCGCACACTCAGGGTATGGGGGTGACGGGTATGGGGGTGGCGGGTCTGTGAGCTATCCCCTGCTGCTCCTCCTCCTCCGTCTCCCACTGCTGCAGCTGCCGCTGAGGGGGGTGGGTGTGTGGGAGCCGAGGGCGTGGCGTTAGGAGGGTGACGTGGGAGTGGAGCTAGGGGTACAGCAAGGGGTGTGTGAAAGAGGGGTGTGGGACAGTTGGGGGACGTTGCGTGGAGGCTGCCGTCGTGTCGCCTGCAGCGCTAGTGGTTCGGAGCCTGTCTTGCTCTCGGTAGCCTAGCGAGCCTGCTGTGCCTGTCGTCCGTGGGTCCGTTGCTCCTGCCGCTTGTCGTAGCCGCGGAGCCAGTTACTCATGCAGTCCGGAGCCTGTCTTGCTCTCGGTAGACACTGTGCCAGCCGCTCCTGTTGCCCGTGTGTCTACAGCTTCAGCCTTCGCTTCCTATCCCCTCTCCTCTCACAGTCCAGCCTCCTCCTCCTCACGTGCCCGTTGTGAATGCCTCTAGCTTTGCTTATAATTGTGAACTATTGCTATGCCTGCTTATTGTGCTGATTACACCCCACTTTGGCTATGGGAGTGTGTCAGAATGTTATTATTGTCTAGCCTGCAGTGAGGTATTCTATAGCGAGTACAACCCAATTTAGGGATTGCTATTTGTATCCCAACTCTTGCTAGTGCAATCACTCTTCTTTCATTTCTATTCCGTGTACCCTAAACCTAGTCATGGCTTCTTAGCCTTAACTACTATCATGACAGTGCGAACCTTCCTGAGGTGATCCCAGGGACGATTAACTTATGATCGCAGCAAATTCTATGTTTTACTTTATCAATGTTATAGGCGCAGCCTATAACGGAGCTAGAGCTGGCCAACAACATACCAATATTCCTCCGAATATGATCGATTGCATGAATCGGAATCGTCAATTGGTGAGGGACAGTGGGTCCAATAGAGCAGGGAGTCTCAGCAGAATTTGGACCCCGGACTCCCTAGCATCTTCGTTCTGTAGGGCATTAACTATTGCAATGTCTAGACCGGTTGCAACCGTTACTAAAGGGCGTGACAACAGCATTAACTGCAATGGTACATACCATGACATGCTCGATTGTTTCTGGAGTACACCTCACCAAAATCCATCATCTAGATGTATCCATGAATGAGAGTATCTAAGGGAAATTGGCATTCCTTACAAGCTTAGGCTACTTGATGTAGTTGATGGCACAGATATTGATGTATTGAAAATTTATTGATTCAGGTGTATTATGACACGTTGATTGGGGTGTCAGACACTTGAAGCCACAAATGCCCGCCCACTGACAGTTCCCTCCCTCCCTCCCTCCATCCTTGCCCAGCCAATCCAAGCCTGGTTTAGCGGAAACTGTGTGGATGGAGCCAGTCAGTCGGCCCAAGATTTTTGGCAAGATTTGTCCGTTACTAGCAGTGTCTCAATTCTCCCAGGCGTGCGTTTTTGAAGTATTCTTGACTGACCAAGATTTGTGAACACTCAAAGAGGAGTTCCAGTACCATTTGTTCTTTCTGGCTTTGCTTGGTTGTGTGATTCTTAATTTGGCGGTTGTCATCAAACCGAAACGTCCATACTTTCAGGAGCACGGGAATGTTGCGAAGTACACCCAGTGTTTTCAGATTCCTCTATTTTCAGCCTATAATTTGTTACTCAGCAGTGCAAAACAGTGCACACCCGCACGTATGACACCACATGGACAAGCAGCATCTTGCTCAGTGCTCAGTGCTCACCTCACCCTCTGGCAAGCAAAAGCTGCCGTGCCGTGCATTTTGGCGTGCGTGCGTCACCTTCCTCTGTTTGCCTCGATTCTTCCCTTCCTCCCATGTTCCTCTTCACGATTCGGGTCGTGTCATGGCTCACCTGTGTGTGGGGTTTCCACTTTACCACGCAAGCGACACTTACCGGTCATAGCAATTTAATTCGGTTTAAAATCAAACTTTGAAGATACGGTTCGGTAATTGGACGACACCTAGGGTTTTCGACCTGGGTGAGTAATTAGTAGAGTGAGCCATTCACTGCAGCTCCCTGAATGCCTTCCAACGGAAGATCAGCTTCCTCCCGCCTCCTTCCCACATCACATGAATGTGTTCAGATGGTGAGGCACCATCCAGATTTGGGCATTTGTTCAGATTTGCAAAGATACAAGTTGAGTTTCGTGAGCTTGGTTTCTCACAGCGGGTAGCTACTACCTCCCGCGTGTGACCTCTCCATTTGCCTATGTGATGTGTGCGAGGGCCGTTTCTCCCACCATGGGTCCACCCCAAAAGCCTCACGAAAAAAACAGATCTACTGACGAGCATTTTTGTCAGTCTTGTACCCCCAGAAAACAACCATCCACAGCCAGTTCTTGACCCGGACAGCAGACGAGGAGGAACCATAGCAGGACGAACTGACATACTATGCTCCGCCGCACTCTGCGCGATGGTTCCCGTGACATATCTAACACCGTCATTCTCGCTCCCATTTAACTACGAAACCGCATCGTGCACGCTTCTTAAGGCCTACACTGCTATCACTACCGTACGGTATCCGCCAATCGTGACAAGGCATCTCACCGCTAGATAGTACCGGAATTTAGGTTGGGTAGTTCCCGAGTCCGCCGGTATTTGCGTCGGTGCGGCGATCTACGACGTTTCGTCGCAACTGCTCGATTCGCTGGTCTAGTGGTCAGTGCGGGTGAGACGGCAACGGTCCACGTCACAAGCGCGAGTCGGCGTCATCATTATCATCCCAAATATCTACTATGCCGCCTGACACTATTGCACATGGGGTTTGACGCCCGCGTGAAAGCCGCCTGTCCATCTCAATAGGAGGGCTCTTCCTCTAGCAGAGCAACAGTGGCGCCAACCTCTCTTCTAACTAGTAGCATTTTTAGTTGTGGCGCATTCGTTTCATAGCACCGCACCACTTCAGCCTATTGCCGAAGAAACCTTCAAGTTTCATCTCCGAGCACCCGAGCTCCTCCCCCCGGTTTTGAGACGAGCATTTTGCGCGGAGGCTCCGCGAAAGGAAGGTGACCGTTTTTGTCCCGCAGTGACCGCGAGACTTGCGAATTCCAGCTCCTAAATCGGTGACCTATCCCGTTTTCTCTTTCGCCGAACACCTGCGTTTCCTCGCTTTCGCGTTTTTTTCGGCTGAATTATTTAATAACAGACCCCCTTATCAGCAGCTGCTGCAGCAACTAACGGGCAACAGCGGCGGGGGCGATGGCGGTGCTAATTGCAGGCGTGCCCCACTCTCTTCAAGCCAGCTTCGCGATAATCATTCGCAGACCTATAATCCTTGCCGTTGTCGTTGCTGCCGTGGTCAGCGCCAGCGCAAAGCAAGCTTCTGCCGTCGTGCTAAATCCTACCCACTGTAAGCTCCGCTTGATGGGCTTCCGAGCTTTGATGGGCTGAAGTCGTGAGTCTCGGTAGCCACCCTTTTGCTTTGAGATTCCGGTCCGGTCCGGTCCTCCGCTGCCGAATCCTCCTCCTCCTCCTCCTCCTCCTCCTCCTCCTCCTCCTCCTCCTCCTCCTCCTCCTCCTCCTCCTCCTCCTCCTCCTCCTCCTCCTCCTCTTCCTCCTCCTCCTCCTCCTCCTCCTCCTCCTCCTCCTCCTCCTCCTCCTCCTCCTCCTCCTCCTCCTCCTCCTCCTCCTCCTCCTCCTCTTTCTTCCTCCTCGCCGTTAGCCCCTACCCTTTATATCTCCATCTGTCATCAACCCCATCCCACTACATCAAGTAATGCACCCTTCCGCCTTCTTTCCTTCTTTTGCATCCTCCTCTCCCTGTCGTCTCTCCCTCTCCTTGCTCTCCCAATCCGTCCTCCCTCTCCGTGCTCTCCCTCTCCGCCCTCCCTCTTCGTGCCCCCCCTATCCCTCCGCGCGCGGGGCCGTGCAGGGGCGGTGGTGGATGCGCTGAAAGGGGAGTGGCTAGACTTCGACGGCCGGTCCACGTGGCTCATCACCAACACGTGCGAGGAGATGCAGGGCATCACGTGCAACGCCGATGGATACATTACCGACATGTACGCAGCGTGCTGAGTGCTGTGCTGTGCTGTGCCGTGCCGAGCCGTGCCGTCCGCCTCTTTCTTCCTGCACTCCGCCGCACACTTTGTTTATGCGTCCAGCGGCCTATGAACGTGTGCTCATCATGTGGTTGCTTGCTGGTTTGCTCGTGTGTTTCTTGATCCGTACGTGCCGTTGCTGTTCGTGCAGTGATCTATCATACAAGACCCTGTCGTCATCCATCCCAGTCGCCATTGCCCGACTCGAAACCCTCCAATACCTGTCAGTTCCATGCCAGCCCATTACGGTGTGCCGTGCCATGCCATGCCATGCCATGCCGTGCCATGCCATGCCATGCCGTGCCATGCCATGCCATGCTGTGCCATGCCATGCCGTGCGTTCCATGCCATAGCATTCGCCATGCAGCACAAATGCATACCGCGTCGTGACGTGCCATGAGCCACCTTGTTTCAGGTCGTCCTCCATTTCGTTGAAGCCCAACCACAAGGCCTTGCCATACCGAACGTTCTCTCACGATCAACCATCCTGCTTTCTGCGACTCACATCCTCATTTCCCCTCCCCTCCTTTCCCCCTCTCCTGCCTTTTCCCCTCTCCTTCCTTTCCCCTCTCCACCATTTCCCCTCCCCTTTCCCCCTCTCCTTAATTCTCCCTCAACTCCTCTTCCCCCCTCCTCCTTTTCCCCTCCCCTCCCTTTCCCCTCCCCTCCCTTTCCTCTCTCTTCTCTTTCCCCTCCCCTCCCTTTCCCCTCTCCTCCCGTTCCCTTCCCCTCCCCTCCCGCCTCTCCCATCCCGTCCTCACCCCTCCCATCGTCTCATCTTGCATCCCTGGCATCACTGCAGCGATGTGCACAACTGCTCGCTCTCAGGCTCCATCCCCTCCTCCCTGGGCTCCTTAACCCGTCTCAAGAAGCTGTAACCTCACCTCCACTCCACCTCCTCCTACCTTCCTTCCTCCTTTCAGCAACACCCAAATCCACCCCCTCCTTTCTTCCATTTCAAGCACTCTGCTCTTGCACGCATTCCCTCCCGCCCTCCCAGCTCTTATCCCTGCTAACCTCCCCTCTCCCCACCTCTCCCCTCCCCATTCCTCCTCTTCCATCTCTCTACCCATACTCCCTCCCCCTCCATCCCTCCCATCGCCTCACCAGAGCTGCCCACATGAATGCGCTGTCTGGAAGCATTCCAGCTTCTCTCGGGGACATGGCTTCGCTGCAGTACCTGTACGCTCCCCCTACTCCCCCACCCCACCCTTCTTGCTGTTGCCATTCCTGCCGTTGCCATTCCTGCCGTTGCCATTCCTGCTGTTGCCATTCCTGCCGTTGCCATTCCTGCCATTGCCGTTCCTGCCGTTGCCATTCCTGCTATCGCCATTCTTCCGACTGCCAGTCTTGCTCTTGCCGTTTCTGCCGCCTCAGCTGTTGGTGTTATCCTTCCCATCTTCCACTCTCCTCCTCTTTCCATCACCACTACCTACCCCTCTCCCCCTCCCTCGTCCCCCTGTCCTCTCCACTCCTCCCTGTGGTGAAATTCAAATCTCGTCTACACCTGTGGCAGTAAGCTGAGTGCTAACGAGTTGTCTGGATCGCTCCCAGCTTCCTTAGACCGCCTCTCCAACCTAGCTGCCCTGTCAGTGCCAGCACTGCCCCCTGCCCCCACCACACCCACCCACACAAGCACCAAGCGCCGTCACCCATCGCCGCCCACCCATTCGCTTCCATCCAATGCCACCCGCCCATTGCCAGCCACCCGGTGCCTTGCCACCCATCCATTGCTCTGAATACCCAGATTCACTCTCCAGCAGTGCGTCGTTTTCTCCTCCGCATGTCACTCCTTCACCAACTCGACCCACCCCACTCAACGCACCTCCTTCACTCACTCATGTTCGCCCGCTAACTGTCCATGTTCGTCCTCGCTCCTTTTGAGTTGACTCAAAAGTCAACTTCATGTTCACCCTCGCTTCTGGATGCTCCCTCCTTCCTTGTACAGGTTGCTTCAACCCACAACTTGCCCGATCGTTTTCCCCTCCCTTTCCCATCACGTCTCAATTATTGTCAACCTCATTCCCTCCTCAACTTCTGCACCCTTTTCCTCTGCCCCGTTCCCATTCATTCCTCCCTTGCTTCCTCCCTTTCTCCCTCGCTTGTGTGCTTGTGCCTGCTCATGTGTGCTTGTGCCTGCTCATGTGTGCTTGCGCCTGCTCATGTGTGCTTGCGCCTGCTCATGTGTGCTTGCGCCTGCTCATGTGTGCTTGCGCCTGCTCATGTGTGCTTCCGTGCATGTGTGTGCTTGTGTGCGTGCGCGCACAGGGATTTGAGTTGGAACCAGTTGGAGGGCCAGATACCTACAGAGATAGGATCCTTCCCCGTGCTGCAAGACCTGTGAGCCTCCCATTGGCACTGGCACACATGCACACATGCACACAGAATGCATGCATGCATGCGTACTTGCATGCACGGACGTGCGCAATCACAAACCCACATAATCACACACTTCTTCCAACCCCCAATCATCACACAAACTAAACGACGTGCATGTCACACTTGCACGTCACACCTACCCTACTCCCTGCATCCCCTGCCTGACCCATCCCTACTCTCTCAGCCCCACTGCTGCCACACGGAACCCCAACCTCAACCCCAACCTCAACCCCAACCTCAACCCCAACCCCAACCTCAACCCCAACCCCAACCTCAACCCCAACCCCAATTCCTCCTCCAGGCGCCTCAACAACAACCGCTTCTCAGGGCCTGTGCCCTACACCATCGGCTCCATTCGCACCCTGCGCACCCTGTACGTGCCCCCGCCCTCTGCACTTGCTACTCTCTATAGCCCTGCTACCCTGTGGTTGTGCAATCCTGGCTGTGCAATCCTGGCTGTGCAATCCTGGCTGTGCAATCCTGGCTGTGCAATCCTGGCAGTGCAACCCAGCTTGGTCCCATGATGAACCATGACCTGGCTTGAGCCCCTTTCCCCCTCCCTTCAACTCACAGTCACAGTAGCCGCGTCTTCCAATCTCTCCATCCTCCTCTCTTCCTCTCCCACGCCTCGGCCCCTTACAGCCAGCTGAGTGACAACGAGCTGTCAGGCCCGCTGCCGCCCACTCTCGGCTCGCTCACGTCCCTCGATCAACTGTATGTCACCACACCACACCACGCCCTCCCCCTCCTTTTCTGCTTCCCGCCTTCTCTTTGTCTCCTGCACATGCCTCGAACACGCGTGTGTATGAAGGGGAAGGCTGGAGAATGGGTGGTGATGGGAGGGGAGGGGAGGGGAGAGCAATGCAAGTTTGTGCGCGCACGCGCCCACACCTTTCATTGCTCAATCTTGGTTTCGAGCTTGTGCTGCACGATGCTGCTCCGTCCATTAAGACGGCTCACACGCCCACGCTGCTCCCCTGCTGCTCCCGTGCTGCTCCCGTGCTGCTCCCGTGCTGCTCCTGTGCTGCTCCCCTGCTGCTCCATTGCTTCTCCCGTGCTGCTCCGCTGCTGCTCCTGTGCTTCTCCCCTGCTTCTCCCCTGCTTCTCCCCTGCTTCTCCCGTGCTGCTCCCCTGCTGCTCCCCTGCTGCTCCCGTGCTGCTCCGGTGCTGCTCCCGTGCTGCTCCCCTGCTGCTCCCGTGCTGCTCCCCTGCTGCTCCCGTGCTGCTCCCCTGCTGCTCCCGTGCTGCTCCCCTTCTGCTCCCCTGCTTCTCCCCTGCTTCTCCCGTGCTGCTCCCGTGCTGCTCCTGTGCTGCTCCTCTGCTGCTCCCCTGCTGCTCCTCTGCTGCTCCCCTGCTGCTCCCCTGCTGCTGCCCTGCTGCTCCCATGCTGCTGTGCGTCCACCCACCCCGCTCGTTCACCAGGTTCCTATCCAACAACCAGCTGTCTGGGGACCTGCCTGCTACCATCGGCAACATTCCTTTCATCATCACCATGTGCGCTCTCCTCTCCACCCTCTCTCCACTGCACCTTGCCTCACTTCACCTCACCCCACCGCACCCTACCGCACCCCACCTCGCCCCACCCCACCTCACCTCACCTCACCTCACCTCACCTCTCCACGCTTTACACCACTATGCAGAATACTCAACCCCTCATTCCATCTCGGCAATGTCTCATCGTATGTCACCCCCCCTTCTCTTCCATCTCTTCTAGCTCACCCCATGCCTCCCTGCTCCTCTGATCACAGCCTTTTACCACCACCCTCCTTCGCCCCGTACCCTCTGCCACCATTCTCTCCCCTATCCTATCCTGCACCCTCCTCCCACCCCTCCACCCCCTATCACCTGCCTGTGTGCAGTGACCTAAGCTACAACCTCTTCTCCTCTTCCTTGCCGTCCCAATGGTCCTCCCTCTCTGTGCTGCGCAAACTGTGAGTCCCCAAGAATATTCATTGTGGTTCCATCCAATTCTTAGAAAAAAAGAAGAGAAAAATCTCAGAAAGTGCCTCTCGGCCTCCCAGCATGCGCACGCACACCCACACACTCTCACACACACGCTCTCACACACGCTCTCACACACACGCTCTCACACACACGCTCTCACACACACGCTCTCACACACACGCTCTCACACACACGCTCTCACACACACGCTCTCACACACACGCTCTCACACACACGCTCACACACACGCTCTCACACACACGCTCTCACACACACACTCTCACACACGCTCTCACACACACGGTCACACACACGCTCACACACAGTTCATGCTACGTCCATCTCGTCCACCCCCAACTAACCTGGCTTGTGTCATGGGTGCCCTCCTCTCCTCTCGTCCCCATGCCCACACCGCACCACCCCCTTCCCCCCATCCCTGCCTCATACAGCCACTTCCACCACACGCTACTCTCTGGCGCCCTCCCTGCTGCCATTGGCTCCATGACCAACCTCCGAGACTTGTGCGTTGCCACCTCTCTCTCTTCCTCTCTATTTTTTTTCTTCCTCTCTCTCGAATGGTCCTGGTATTGATTGATGGGAGATACATGGGAAGATGCAAACACATGCAAACCCAGACATAACACTTGGTCTACCTAACTACCTCATTCCCTTACTCCCTCCCGCCCCCTCCGTCCGACCCTAAAGGTCGAACGAGGGCTCTATTAGCTGGTAGAGCTGGCCTTCGCTAAGGGGGGCAAAGAGGCCCCGAATGCCGAGCTCGTCCGCTGCTATCGCCTCGTTGGTCTTGCAGCGGAGGGCGTTGGCTTGTGCTTTTTGGAGGCACACGCTCCAGCGCTGGCGGTATTCCGTCAGCAGCTTGGCGGCCTCGTAGGAGTTGGGGGCTGCGTTGAATCGCAACTTGGCCGCCAGCTCCGCGCACTGCCGCAAGAATGCCAACACCCCGGGCGAGGGGTACCCATATGTCTCTACCGCTAGGGCATGAAAGCCCACCCACGCATTTCGGCGCGCGTATTTCTGCTCCTTCTTGTCCGCAGCTGCCCTAGCCGCCCACCCCGGTGCTCTATTGCAGTTCTTGGTGAGAAACGGGGTCCGTCACTGTCACGTCGCACATCCAAACCTCTCCCGTCCGGGGATGGCTGATTGCGACGTCCGCCTTCAGGTTTTCAACGAGAGAGAATACATAGGTTTCTTTGTGCACCGTGAATCCCGCCTCTGCCGCAATCAAAGCAATCTCGTCCCTGAGCGCATGGTGAGTCGCAATCCTTTCCCCCCCTTTCTCGCAGCGCATGAGATGGTTTGGGAGGCGGTCATCAGGGAATTTGGTGCGGTAGCGGCAGTCGCAGCGCCTGGGGACAGGTAGGGGGAGGCCCAGGCGGAACGCAGCAGCGGAGGAGAGCTGGGAGGGTCCCATCCTAAGCGAGGGTATGATGGGTAGTGCCAGCAGCCAATCTCCCGCACCAGGGCCGAGCACCGACTGCATTCTCTGGGCATGGCCAGAGAGGGGGTTGGGGCGCATCCGCCTTGCCTCGTTCATGACCCTCAGGAAGCGGCGTGTCTGAACCGCCAGCGCTAGAGACTGCTGCAGCTTGAGGCCCTGTGGGTCTGCTTTCCCGGCCTGGAGAGCTTCTAGAGCCTCGGGGGGGAGGGCTGCTTCCGCTGCTGCAAGGCGTGCAGGCAGGGCGTGCGCGGAGCCGGAGGTGGGGTCCATTAGGGGGAGGAGGGCTGCTACATCTGGGTGGAGTGCCTCGGCCAGGGAGTGCAGTAAGTGGGAGGTGCCCACCACGGACGCAAGGTACGCAGAGCTCCCTTCAACTGCAGGATTTGTAATGCCAAGCCCCCCCAATGTTACAGCCAGCGCCGCTTGCCTCCAGATTCTCCTCTGTTCCGTGTCACTCCTTGGCAGCATGATATGGGCCGCGTCCAGGAAGGTATGCAGCAGTTGCTCCCCCCATGCCGCCCATTCATCCTCAGGTAGTGCCTCTAGCGGAGTGGTTCTGGCCAGGAAGGATGCTCGCCGGCCCACGCAGCGGGTGAGTAGCAGCAGGCACAATTGGGGGTCCATTTGGGCCAGGAGCGGCAAGGGTTCTGCTGCTGCTGCAAGCCTTTCCCTTACTCTGGCGGCACAGCCATCTGGGGTCCCGATTGGGCTTCCTAATATCCGCAGTCCGTCTGCTGCAATGGGGAAGCTCGGAGGGAGAGAGGCAGGGTCTATGGCGGTTGCAGACCAAGCCTCACACTTCCCAAGGTTGTGCTCGAGGCCTATGTGGATCAGTGCGGCAGTGAGGTGTGTAAATGCCGCCGTGCACGCTTCTGCTTCGCCTAGCAGCGTTATGTCGTCTGCATAGGCGAGAATGACGACCCTTGGGTGAGCTAGTGCCGTTGCGGTAAGGTGTGGGTGGATGCTTGCCGCAAAGAGCAAGGGGCCAAGAGGGTCCCCCTGGCGGACGCCTCTAGCACTTAGCAGTGGAGCCACGCCGAAGTCATGGTCGAGGTGGAGTGTTGAGGGAGTTCCGTAGGAGAGGCGGACAAGGGGCAGAAGGCTTTCAAGGGACTCGTTCTTGAGCCCCTCGAATACCGCCGCCCTTTCCACCGCGTTAAACGCGTTGGCGAGGTCAATCTGCAGCGCCACCGAGCCCGGGTTCTCCTCCAGGTATGTGCGCGCAGTGTGAATGGCCGCCTCAATCTCTCCAGCCACTGCTACCCCGAACTGTAGAGGCGCGAAGTGTGATCGTGCCGCCGCCCCAGTCAGGAACAGTGCTGCCTTGGCCACTATGCGAAGAAGGCATTCGCCCACGGCTATCGGTCAGGTCCCCCCCTGTGGTTTTGTGAAGGCCAAGAGCCGTGAGGCTGTGAGGAGCTCGGTGGCCTCGCTGCTGAGTTTCCCGGCTATAGCTGTATTGGTAAGTGCGAGGAGATGGGCGAAGATGTCTGGATTTCCGAGTGCAGCATCGCGTATGTGCTCGAAGGTTGTGCCTGAGGGCCCTGCTCCCACCCCGTTTGGGAGTTTGGCTACGATGCGCCTGAAGTCGCGCGGCTCTATCGAAGGGGTTTTCTCGGGGGAGAAGGTGCGTATCCATTCTGGTAAGGGCTGGAGTGCTTGCGGGTGTCGTGCTGCTAATGCCGCGTACACTTCGGAGGAGGCAGGTGAGACCGGAGTGGCTTGGAGGGACTGTAGTGACTTGGCCAGGTTACCACGCTTGGCCAGTCCCTCCGCTCTAGCAAGGATGCCCTGAGTGTCAGGTACGTGACATGGCTGGGCTGGGAGGGAAATTGCTTCAACTGCCTCGTCGTACAGGCCAGACCAGAGTCCCTGGTGGAAACGGAGGAGGCGATTCATCATCGCGTTCCAGTCTGGTTTGCGAGCTGACGAGGTGCGTAGGAGGATTCGCGGGAGGAAAGTCAGTAACCTCCACCCCGCGGTCGAGTTGGGATTGGCTGCCAGGTGGAGGAGTGGGGTGAGTAGGCAGACTGCGAATGATTCGCGAAGGTCTTTTGGCGGGTGACGGGCGAGGGGGGGCTGGCGACTGTCGCGCAGTGGGTCCAGGTCCCAGCCTGCGACTTGCGCGAAAAGGTCCAGTCGTTTCGCCAAGTCGCCTGGGTGGATCATTGGTGGGGTTGGAGTTGGGGTTGGGGTGTTCCTATTGGTTGCGGCAGAGTCAAATGTGATTTCTGCCACGGTCCGATTTCCCCTCCAGGCCTGATTTCCCCCCACATTCCGATTCCTGGCTGGGGTTCGTGTTGCAGACGCGGCTCCAATTTGTTGGTCCGGGAACTCAGCCCCACGAACCAAGAGCTCCTCAACATCTTCATCAGCTTCAGCATCCAAACCTCCCTCCGTTTCGGGGTTAAAACCTGGGTCACCCTCGTCACTCTCGTCATTCTCCGATTCACCACTCTCCCCCCTGCTAGCGGCTTCCTCGCCGCCTTCCGCGCCTTCCCGGAGTAGTCGTTCTGCTGTCCTCGCATAGCCGCTCGCGCCTGTACGTCGGCCTCCTCTCCTCCCAGCTCCTCTTCCTCGGCGTCCTCTCCCGCCTACGCGTCGTCCGCCAGGTGTGCCACTCCTCGCGATTGGGCTGTGTATTACAGGCGTGCGGTTTTCGCCAATCTCCTCCCCTGCCAAGCGGGGCTCTGGCGTCCTCGGCTCACGCCTCGGTCGTGATGGCGGGGTCCGTGGGTCGCGACCGCGCCTTGGAAGCAACCGCGGAGAGCGCTCGGCTTGTTGTGCAGCCAAACCCCGAGTATGCGCCTCCGCGTTCCCAAGTGCAGGCTCGTCCTGCTGCGTCGGCGCCCGTGCGCCGTCTTGAGCGCGGGTTGTCTCTTCCGCTGCGCGGGGCGGATCGTCACGCGTCTCCTGAGCAATCCCGTGCTCCCCTAGTCGTCGCCTCGAATGCCTTGCCGGCGCGTCAGGAGCGGGGCCGGTCCCCGCCGCCTCGTGGATATCGACCCGCGTCCCCTGCGCGTCGCGCCCCCGAGCCGCATGACTCTCGGCGGCGATGGGACGAATATCAGCGGGAAATTCAGCATCGCGACCGCCGCTACCGCTCTTCTGAGAGGTCGCCGGAGAAGCGCTCCCCGCGGGAGCGGTCCCCTCCGCAGCGGACGCCGCGGCCGTCGCCTCCGCGTCGGGGCCGCGGGGCTCATGCGGGCCGTTGGGATTCTCGCCGCCGTGAGCAGTCCCCGCCCCGTCCTCAGTCGGCTGGGTCTGGAGGGCATCGTGGGCGGCGGAATGGTTATGCGCGCGGCGGGGGTAGTCGTGGCCAGGGCTCCACTGCTGACCGCGCGGGGAATATGGTGGCGGATGCAGTGCGGGAGGTGGAAGCGTCGGGGGCAGCGGCTCACGTTCACGTGTCTGTGACCACTGAGCCCCCCACCGCACCTGTTGCGGTTGAAGCCGCTCCGCTGCGCGCTCCGACCTTGCGGGAGTATCTGCCAGCTGCAGCGGCGAGGGGGCCGTTCCGCGGACGCCGCCAAGCCTCAGGTTACCCTGCTCCTCAGAATACGGTTGGCCAGACCCCGGGCCAGGTGGGGATGTTTCTGCCGCGCGGAGTTCCGACTGCGCCTCTCCCCAGCCGCGCGGGGAGAGATCCCACGCTGAGCATGTGCCGGATGTGGAATTTGGCGGGGGCGGCTGAGGGGCTGGCGAGCCTGCAGCTGGCGGCGTGTGAGGCCATGCGTCACACACCGAGCAGTTTTGCTCAAGGGCCCCAAGGACAGTGCGTCGCTGGGGCAGGAGAGATTGTCCCCCTTTTATCGCCCGTGTCGGATGCGCCCGCCGGGGTAGCACCCTTAGCCCGTACCTTCCCCCGCCTCGCTCTTGAACTTCACGCTGCGGCTCAGCACGGGACCCCTGTTGACACTCTTCGCTTCTCGGCGGAGCTTCTCCACTCGATGGCGGGGTGTCTTCTCGCGATGCTTGAGGCGGAGGGGGCTGGCCTGTACACGCAGTAGAGCGGCGTCTCGTGTAGTATTGCATCTTGATCGTAAGGTGATGCTCTCTAGTTGCTTGATTTTTTCCTTCTTGGAATGCCTTGCTTGATCAACTCCTTGTGTGAGTGTCTTGCCTCTGAAACGCGCGGCCGAAGGCCGCCGGCGCGAGCCGCCGGAAACTGAGAACACACGAAATAATGAGGAGAAGAAGGCACCAAGGGCCCTTAAATAGGCTCAGAGGAAGAGGGCCGAGGGAAGAGGAAGAGGGCTGGGTGCTAAGTCCTCTCTCTCTCTCGCTCTCTCAGCCGCCGGAAACTGAGAACACACGAAATAATGAGGAGAAGAAGGCACCAAGGGCCCTTAAATAGGCTCAGAGGAAGAGGGCCGAGGGAAGAGGAAGAGGGCTGGGTGCTAAGTCCTCTCTCTCTCTCGCTCTCTCAGCCGCCGGAAACTGAGAACACACGAAATAATGAGGAGAAGAAGGCACCAAGGGCCCTTAAATAGGCTCAGAGGAAGAGGGCTGAGGGAAGAGGAAGAGGGCTGGGTGCTAAGTCCTCTCTCTCTCTCGCTCTCTCAGCCGCCGGAAACTGAGAACACACGAAATAATGAGGAGAAGAAGGCACCAAGGGCCCTTAAATAGGCTCAGAGGAAGAGGGCCCTTAAATAGGCTCTCTCTCAGAGGGCCCTTAAATAGGCTCTCTCTCTCTCTCTCTCTCTCTCTCTCTCTCTCTCTCTCTCTCTCTCTCTCTCTCTCTCTCTCTCTCTCTCTCTCTCTCTCTCTCTTTCTCTCTCTTGCTTTCTTTTGTGGAGCTTCCGAAACTGGCTCTCTGACCTCTTATGCGTCCCCACCCCCCGTTCCCCTCCCACAACCTCTCCATCTTCTCACATCCTACCATGCCCACCGCTTCTGCTTCCTTCCAACTCTCTCCCTTGCCTCTGAGCCGTATGTCGCCGCGCCCTGCCATGCCCTCCCAAGCTGCAGTAACGCTTCTGTGTGTTAACTCCATGTCCTTTTCCTCCCAACACTGTCCCCGCCCCTTATCCATGCCCCCCGTTCATTTCCCCCCATCCCTGCCTCCGCCTCCCTCCCCGTCCCCACACCCGCCCCTGTTCCCTGTGTGCGACCTGCAGGCGCATGTGCTGCAATATGCTCACGGGTTTCTTGCCTTCACAGATTGGCCTTCTCACCAAGCTAACGCACCTGTGAGCCGCTTTGTCATATTGCACTGAATGTTTCGGCCCTGCACTACCCTGCCCTGCTGCATTGCTGCTTGCCCTGCTGGTTATCCATCCTTCTGCCCAGTTTTCTGGCTCTGTCCTTTCCATGCCCAGTTCTCCTCTTGATGCTCTCCGCCCTCCCGCCCTCCCGCCCTCCTGCCCTCCTGCCCTCCCCACGCTCCTCAGACTCCTCCTTCCGCCATGTGTTTACTGATACTCGAAAGACACTCCATTCCGTGGACCATTCGTGCCGTCCCCCCTCCTCTCTCTCCCCCCACCAGCGATCTCACCTTTAGCCGCCATTCGGCCTCATTGCCTAACAATCTCTTTTCCACCTGAGGTGTTTCAAATCTCCTCCTCGCCTTCTCGCCCCGTTATGTTCCCTCCCCCCACCAGCGATCTCAGCTCCAACCGCTTTTTTGGCCCGCTGCCGGCCACTCTCTCTGCCCTCCAGCTAGCCACCGCCATGTGAGCCACACATACCACTGCCACGTTAGCGCGTCAGGTCGTGTGTGTGTGAGTGTGTGTGTGTGTGTGTGTGAGTGTGTGTGTGTGTGTGTGTCTGTGTGTGTGGCACGCGCTGCCACCCCCACCACCTCCTCCCTCCACCTCGTCCCCTCCCCCACCTCCTCCTGCCCAACCTCCCCCCCCCCCCCCCCTCTTCCCCGTCCCTCCCTCCCTCCCGCAGTCTCCTCCGCGACAACCAGCTGAACGGGACGATCCTCCCCAAGCCATCAGCAGCGGTGCGCCAGTACCAGCTAGACACCAACTTCTTCTCCGCCTGGTTCCCCTACGGCCCCTCCTCCTGCGCAAACGTCACCCTCTGGGCCAACTGTCTCCCCGTGCCCACCGTCTTCTCCGTGCCTCCGGGGTACCTCTGCCCAGTGGACTCTCTCCCTGAGGGGGCGTATCGGCAGCGCAGCGCTGCTGCGTGTGCTGCGTTCTGCGGGCTGTGGGTCGGGCCGGAGTCGGCAGTGGTGGAGAGAGTGGTGTGTGGGGGCCACGGGAGTTGCTACTTTGACGGGCCCAACCGGGTTCCCACGTGTGTGTGCGACGCGGGGTACCTGAATGGCGAGGACCCGGGCACGTGCGTGGACGCTGGAGGTGTGTGCAGGGGTCGAGGTGGTGGGGAGAGATTACTTGTGCGCCTGGGATGGGGTGGGGTGGGGTGGGTTCAGTGTCGACTCAAAAGCAGCATGTGGAGTGTTAGGGGTTGTGTATGTGTGGTGGGGGTGGTGTGGGTAAATGAGGGTTTCGGGTCCTGCTTGCTTTGCCATCATGCAAACCCTCAACCCCTTGTCACACATTTTCCCCACTTTCTCCCTTCCTCCCCTCCTCCATCCCTCCGCACTGCCATCAGTGGACCCCAACGCAGTGAGCCTCAACTCCAAGGAGCACCACAAGTCAATGATCACATACGGCAAAGCATTCATGGAGAGCGATGACGGCGCCATCACGCTCACGCCCTCGCTGCCCTCCGTGTGGGGTGCAGCGCTCCTC